CCAAGTCAGAATACTCGGCTAATCGGCCTTGTGACAGCAAGGTATACCTTTTAACATCCAAAATACCGCAAAAAGAAGAAAATTTATTCCTGATTCGGTACGTGACGTTTCACTGCTGCTAACCTTCAAAAAGTTTGAGCTCCATTCGGCTGCCGAATTTGTTTGTGAAGGAAAGTCTCCTATATTTTGGAGAAGGCAGAAACAATGTAGCATTCTTCATCGACAAAATTCCTAAATCAAACCCCGATAAAGCGGGTAGTTTTTAGCGCTGCTCGAGGTTTTGAAACCCACAAAGTTTGCCACAGCGACATCAAAACACTCTGCCACCCCTCCCGCCCAACAGATTTTCTTTACCATCCTGAGTCTGGGTGGTCACGTGACCAGCTGCAACTAGGGTCTTTCTTCCAACTACCAAGGGAGGCAGAGGAGAGAGAACCTGGGAACGAGCTTGAGCAAAATATATTTTTTCCAAGTTTTTCCACTTCACTATTTTCATTGCTATCATTTCGGAGTTTGGAACATGTTTGGCTCAAAATAATACGCGCTCAGGAGCAGCCATAACCCAGAGTGTTAAAATGGANGTTAATTTTTCTAACTTTCCATACATAAGTAAATGAAGCTACGTACAGAAAAATACAATTCCAAAACGGCGTTTCTTCCCTCAGTCTATTCTGAAACACCGTTTTGATCCATGATGAAAAGATAAGACTTACACTGTATCACTATGTGCATCTTTTGCAGTGTATCAACGGGTTCTCTTGTTTTGCGAGCGCCTCCCCTCCCTCTTCCTCCATTTTTTTATTTTGTTATTTTTAATTACCTTTTTTATTTGCAAATTTATATATTAGTTTATTCAAACTTTAACTCGAATTGCAACTCGAAGTCCAACTCGAACTCGAATGGTTCGGGATTTCCTAAATCATTTTACGTGTCTGTAAATCAAATCCAAGTCAGAATACTCGGCTAATCGGCCTTGTGACAGCAATATACACTTTTTAACATCCAAAATACCGCGCAAAGAAGAAAATAAATTACTTTATTTATTTATTCCTGATTCGGTACGTGGCGTTTTACTTGTGATAACCGTCAAGAAGTTTGAGCTCCATTCGGCTGCCGAATTTGTTTGTGAACGAAAGCCTTCTATATTTTGGAGAAGGCAAAAATAATGAAGCATTCTTCATCGACAAAATTCCTAAATCAAACCCCGATAAAGCGGGTAGTTTTTAGCGATTGCTCGAGGTTTTGAAACCCACAAAGTTTGCCACAGCAACATCAAAACACTCCGCCACCCCTCCCGCCCAACAATTTTTTTTTACCACCCTGACGCTGGGTGGTAACGTGACCAGCCGCAACTAGGGCCTTTCTTCCAACGACCAAGGGAGGCAGAGGAGAGAGAGCTTGGGAACGAGCTTGAGCAAAATGTATTTTTTCCAAGTTTTTCCACTTCACTATTTTCATTGCTATCATTTCGGAGTTTGGAACATGTTTGGCTCAAAATAATACGCGCTCAGGAGCAGCCATAACCCAGAGTGTTAAAATGGAGATCTCTGTAGCTCAGGCGATCTGACACACGTCTCTGTATGCTGTACAAACAGTGTAATGGTTAGCCACTTAGAATGCGACAAGCTTCAGAAAGAACATAAGAGCAGAATGGACAACAGGCTCTCGTCTATTAGTCATCGATTTGAGCAGCCGCGTTGTACATGTGATTATTACAAGAACTCTTTTTACCCTAGCATAGTTGGGCAGTGGAACAATCTTCCAACAGAAATTATAGCATCTACTTCGCTATGTTCATTTAGGCAATCCCTGTGTAATCTTATGTAGTTCTTAGGTTATTTCTTCAGTACTCACNATTATAGCATCTACTTCGCTATGTTCATTTCGGCAATCCCTGTGTAATCTTATGTAGTTTTTAGGTGATTGCTTCAGTATTTCTGTTGTAATCTTTATTATCTAAAGGAGTCTGCAATACTCTGTTAAGAGTGAAGACTTAATTGGAAAATAGTTCGTATAGTGTGATCGTCCGGGTGAGGGTAGTTCTGAAAAGAACTGTTGTTGGTGACTGACGTTTCGACAACCTGAGTGGAGGTCATCTTCAGAGTCAAGTGAATAGTGTATGTCAGTCGATGATGTTATAAGTCTGTTCCGTTGAACGTGATTGGTCAGAGGCCCATTGTATTGTGATCTCACTGACAAAGAAATTAAAAGGAAACACTCTGTGATCAATATGTCCAGTTCTGGAATATCTGTTCAGACCTCCTATGGGACATTTGCTTGATTGATTGATTGATTGACTGACCGACTGACCGACTGATTGATCGACTTGCCTAGTGATCAATCAATCAATAGATCGATCAATCAATCAATCAATCAATCAATCAATTAACTTTCTAATGATAAGGGGACTGCGCAGAAGGTACAATCAAGAACCAATTCCCGTCACTGGTCCCCAAGCCGCCATTAGCTCCACATTTTTGTCTTCATTGAACGCCGTGTACCGTGGTAATGGGCTGTGCAATT